TATATATTATATACATACATACATACATACATAGATCATTGTGTCACGACGCAGTGGAATCAGGCCCTCGTCAATTTTTTGGCAAGTGGAGTTATTGGTATCATCTGAAAGTTCATTTTTGCCTTGATTCCAATTAAATAAAAATCCATTTATTTTTAATAGAGCTGAACACACTTGCGACTGAAAGAGGTGAGGTCCCCATTTTTCAGTGTTGAAATTAGCAAGAAAATGGCCGTCAAAGTTTGGTAACTCCAATAGCTAAAGAATCTTTGAAAACTGAAAACTGACATTTTTTTAGCCTTTATTCAATGTTTTACAGTATTTTTCATATGGAAATGTGTTTTTATATGGACATGCAAAAGGTTAAGCTAAAAAATAAAAAATTGATAAACATTTCCAAACTGGTGGAAAAATGTCTGTTTCTCTGATTTCTTTCCTTTGACGAGTGCCTGATTTCACCAAGCTGCCTCAAAATTATAATAAATACATACTGTACATACATAAATACATAATATTACACCGATACAGAACAATTTTACAATCATGCCATTGTTGGTCGCCACTGAGCAGTATCCTCAATTTCGTCAAAATAGGACATGACCATGATGCACCCTAAGCCAACACTGTAATGACAGTAAATGTTATATATATGCTCTCATCCACATTTTTCTGAGTTCAAGGTAAAGAGCCTTGACTCTAAAAGAAAAAAAATCCTCTGTAAATGAAAGGTTATGCCATGTTTGTAAGCAGCCGGTTCTTGATAAATTGAAGAGAAAAAAAAGGAGCTGAACTTAAAATTACATGCCCTCAATTTTATTGCAAAGCAGGATATGACTATAATGAACCCTAAGCCCTTAAAAAAAACTCCTAGTATATGAAAGGTTATTTATTCCATGTTTGTCAGCAGCTAGTTTTGTTGTTCAAGTCCTCAGCATCACAAACTTCCCCATATAGCCACCACCTGTTCAAGGCAACCAACTGTCCAAACAACCATTTCCAACCAATTTCCCTGTGTGCATTTTTTCTTAATTAATTAATCAATTGATTAATAGCATTAGTATGGTGCATACCCCGGCTCGACAGCAAGCTCTATGCATTTTGCACTATAATATTATTACCCCACTCAGAAACATTCTCAGCATATATTAAAATGACACTGTTTAAAATGACCACTTTCTCCTTGACAATGAGTGGCCGTCATGGACAGATTTGGTTGTAATTCATCACTCGTTTCCGTGTCCACACGATCTAGAACGTCCGACTTATTGAAATAGAATTGCTCGACACAAAGGTAAACAACAGTTAAATGGAAAACTGTACCCGAGTAAAATCTGGAGAAAAAAAATGGGTGTGCTAGGAAGTATGAAAAGGAAAATTAAAATCAGAGACAAAGGAGAAGCATAGAAAAGACAGAATAATGTGCTACAGAAAGATAAAGAGAAATAGAAATTGACGAAGTGAAAAAGAGAGGGAAGGTAAACAAAAGTATAGACAAAGAAAGAAAGAGAAAGAAAGAAAATAAGACAGGAAAGAAAGATAAAGTGATATATACAAAGTGAAACACAGACAGAGACACAGGGACCTTCAGGTGACACTTACTCTTCTTTTTTAATATTAAGTTTACAAAGTGTTTTACGGTGCTCGCAACTGTACAAGGTCATATGAGCCCATGGGACACAGTAAACATTTTCAGTTGGTAGGAAATTTTGAATTTTGCCCTGGTTGTGGCCGAAGCCTACTCTTATTGATTTTAGACCATCAAGGGATCCTAGACATAGCAACTTGCACATGGGACCTCCACGGTTTTTCGCCCTTATCCGAGAAGACTAGATGTTAGATCTTACCTATCATAAGTAAATAAATGTCAACACTCTTTGTGACTTGACGTAGACTTTTAATAATCAAGCACAATGAAGACATACGTCAGACGATGCACGACTGGGACAGAAAC